TGAAAGTGTATGCATGCTGCTCTCGCCACAAACCTTGTACATAGTGTCGTATTCCCTTTCATATATTTTATGGCGTTTCACTCAATACCCCCAATGCACCGAGAGTGCCGGTCATGGTCGTTAGGATTGCATGTTTTCGGACTGGTGTCACGGATGTTTGTCCCCCTTCCCTACTGTTTCTGTGGGCTGGTGTTGCATGGCTAGCGCCGGGGATGGTGTTTATGGGCGAAACTCTCTACTCTGTGATTTTTTTTGGAGATAGGCGAATGAGAATCTGTGGATAGTAATTATATGCAATATGGTGATGATGATTTTGAACTAGACTCGCTTTTGTTGAGAACCTTGGAGTGCTTGTGTGTGAATTGGCAAATGTTGTTTGGAATTCAGGCGCTGTTTGTAACCGCTGCCGTGGCTTGTAGATTTGTATTATGGTGTGTGTCTCTTCAAGCACGTTTAGGTATTGTGAGATAGAGAAAATTTCATCTATGATGCTTTCACGCTTTGGTCAAAACCATCTGGGCAGGCGCTTCTTCTTCTGCTTTTTTGTCGCTCACTAGTTTTCTAAAATCCCGTCTGTATCTTCAGCTGGCTAGGACTTGAGCACACATACGTGGCAAGGCTGAACCTTCTTCATTTGGGAGCGGGGTGGTGTCGTGCTTGCCAAGAGCAGGCTGTTGTTGCCTACGTCTTTTCAGCCTTCTGGCACGATGATTCTCTTCCTTTCCATCACACATCGTCGGCATTCACTCATACCCCTCCATTTCTCTCTCAACAACCATGGACGACCAGGAACCTATACGCAAGGATCTTTGCGCAGAGTGTGCGAACATACCGTGGATCGATCTCACGACGCTGTCCTGTTCGTTTGGGGCATATGATAGCTACAGGGTAATTAGACATCTCGGCACTCGGAAAGAGTTGATTCAATCATCTTGTCCACTATGCCGAATATTTAGCAGTGGCCGTTCAGTTGATCAGCATTTCGAAGGCGACCTATGGCTTGCGTACAGTTGTCTTTGTCAAGTTGATTATAATCCAAAAGAATTTGGTCCATGTTACCATTGTCCTTTTCTTGAAGTAAGTCGATCAAGCGGCCCGGAGTTTCGATCAGGCCAGCGACGAGGTCAGCTGTTCGGGATCACGCACAAGGATGAGTCAAGATTTTTACTCGCGCCCCGAACCTTGGATGCCAATGCCATTGATTATACTGTTCTTCGACAGTGGCTGGATGCCTGTAGAATCCATCATACGCCAGAACAACAAGGAAGTCTTAGGAGTTGCTCTTCAATCTATCATACCCCAGTACCTGGGTTCAGGCTGATTGATTGTTTGAAAAGGCAAGTGATCAATGCCCCAAGGGGGTCTGATCTTCAGTATGTGGCATTGAGCTATGTTTGGGGAAGGTCAAAGCCAGCCGAACTAGTTCTAAATGCGCTTCCGCCGACCATAGAGGATACTTTGACAATCTGTGTTGCTCTTGGATTTCGCTATCTATGGGTGGATCGATATGCAAGTCTTTGACATTTAGGGGTCAATGCGGATGAGCACTGACAAGACAATTGTATCGATGACGAGAATCCGACCTTGAAGCATGTCCAAATCGGAATGATGGGCAGCGTTTATGAACAGGCACAGCTCGTCATAATCGCGTTAGGAGGTTCTTCAGAGCACGGACTACCTGGTGTAGGAGGAACCTCTCGGAGAGTACAAAAAAAAAATTCAAATCAACAAGGGTATTGAAGTGACTGAGATATTTTCATCACACCTCGACGTGGAAGAAAGCACCTGGGCAAGCCGTGGATGGACGTATCAAGAAGGGTTCTTCGCAACACGCAGGCTGATTTTTACAGACTATGAGACTTTATTCGTGTGCAACAACTCCTTTTGTCAGGAGTCTTTGCGTTGCGAGCCTTTTACGAGAGCAAAACCGGCACCGCAAATTCGGTGGTGGCCTTTGGACGACACCCTTCCGATGGGCTGTCATTTCAAACCGAGGCCTAAAGACCTTCTGAATGAATACTCAAAACGAACCTTGTCGTACGATTCTGATACTCTCAATGCCTGTGCGGGGATGCTAAATACCGTTTGCAATCACTATTTCGGCATGCCAATACAGAAGGACCCAGATTATGACACGTATGATCTGAGACTGCATTGGTACAACTCAAGTCCCGGCCAATCACGAAAAGGATTTCCAAGTTGGTCGTGGGCGGGGAGTACAGGTGAAAAGCATGGAGTTGGAGTGTACATGTCAGATGCATATTTGCCGCGGTGTTATGAGATACTCATTCCGCTAAAAAATGGCTGGCAAACAGTAGATGCATACATCAAGTCCCAAGTCGAGGCATTGCCGACTGCCCCTGGACCCACGTTGTGTGTCAAAGGACGCTTGGTTACTGCCTCTTTCGCCGACCACACGTGGGTACGCGGGAACCAACCTCATGTGCAAGATACTATGGACTTACAGGGACGAAAACGCCCTCTTGCTATTCTTTCCCACCCATATCACATGGAGATTGGGATTCCAATTCTTCTTGATACTGAGCAAGATCATGTTGACGAGATGGTTGGCGCAAGAGCACTGATCATAGAGAATGGCTTTGGTAGCTCCGGTCTACACCCCCGCTGGGTGGTTTTGCTCATCTTGAAGCCGATCGGCGATTATTATAGACGAATCGGAATTGCATGGTTCGGAGGGTACAATTTTTTCAGAAGGAGGACTAAACTTGCTTATGTGGAGGAAGAGCCTTTTTGGCATCAACAATCAGAACGCGAGACTATTTATCTTGTGTGAGGAACACACAGCATATCGAAAGCAAAGAAGCCATTCCTAGTCCAGCAGCACCATCGCGCTAAAGGTTTGAAATTTGAAAAGAACAATCGCCGCTTTGAATCCTGGGAGTCATATCACTCATCGCCAGCACGTAAACAAGTAGAACGTCAACTCTACCAAAGCAACCGCCTCTCCAACCGGATTGAGATGAGTCTGTACTCACCATTCTCTATTTACCGGTCGCCGCTCTCGGGGGTACGTTGTGCTTCTTGAGTCTACCCGACGGACCGGGCTTTTAATTTACAGAGAGAGCTGCAGCAATCGCAATGACGACGCTTGATGAACACGATGAGAGATGAATTTGCATATATGAGAGCAACATCGACGTCGAGAGTTTACCATCTCCTTCTTTTTTCTAGTGCTGGATATTGTACCCCACACAATCTATAGGAGGAGAAAAAAGAAAATAGCCCTCAGAACTGTATCATACTCAAATCCATCAACATGTACACTCCCACCATCCTGGTCATCACGCTTACCAGCATGCTGGCGGCCGCATTTCCAACCGTAAGTCTCGCCTCTTTCACCCTCTTTCAGGCTCATATATACACTTAATTCTAACTCTCTCCATCTTCACAGTCCGAATCAGCTCCCTCTTACAACCCTGCGACCATCCTCTTCACCCTCCGAGAACTGCACGGCTTATCCATCACACTCCCTGCCAACAACACATGCATAGACTTGAGCTCAATCTTGGGCGATTACGACAGAAAGATACGCAGTTTGATGGTCGTGAAGGGGACGAAGTGTGCGTTTTACACGTGAGTCTTTCCCAAAGAACGGTTGAGGCACGATGCCTTGCCGCGTCTCATGCGACGGATGGATTGTGTGCTAATCGTGAATAGAGAGCTTAGCTGTGCTAGTATTGGGGATAAGTTGGAGCTGGGGAGTGAGGTTGGAGATGTAATTAGAGAGAGTCTGGAGCCGAGTTGGGATTTGAAGATCAGGAGTGTGTATTGTGCCGATCTTTGAAGTTGACATTATACGTCTGGGCTCGGGAGATTCAGTTCAAGACGATCCACGCAGTATGGGGCTTGAGCTCACAAAGTGAACGTCTAAGGGAAATTACTATCGCCTTCCCCTGTCGCACCTTTTGAAAGATGAAATTTGTTTCACTTGGCTCCGTTGAATATTGTAGCAGCTAGACTCTTCCGTTTACTTTCTTGGAATCTCTCTATGGCGTGAATAAAATATACATCACTCCAAAACTGCGTTGTCCTTTTTGCCCCACACACACAGTATGTAACCTTGCTTCCTTCTCTAACAGACTGCTCATTTGATATGACACCGACACCACAAACACAACACCCCAAAACAACGTCTCAATTCAAATACCTAGACCTAGGTATTCCACCCATCTCCCCATCTGTAGTAGCCCTCACATCATTATATCCGACAACCCCGAACAATAAGTCTAGACAAAAAGAAAGCGGGTGAATCAGGAATCGAACCTGAGGCTCCGCACAAGAGTAATCCGCTTGCCCCTTCTCAGGGCATTTAACCTTCCGCAAGTGCGGCCCACTGTTCGTCGTGGGGCGGAGCGGACACAACGAGTTTGCGGTGTTTTGCCACTAAACTATTCACCCCAAGTTCAGTGTCTGATGTATGATTTCGGCATTGCGTGTGATAAGTAGGCGGATGAGGTATTAGATCCTCTTACCGTCTTGTGTCCTTTAGCTACACTGTCGATAAGGTGGTTAGCTTTGCTTCAAAGGAAGGACGAGCGGGAGGAATTTAAGACGGTAGGTGCGAGTCAAGATCTATCAGTACAACAATCGGAATGGTTCAATTGACTTTCGTCATTTGATAATGTGCTCTGCTGGATTGAGAGCTGACTTTCTTTCTCCAAGGAAGAATGCAGATCAGTATTCGATCCCGCGTCTATGAACTCAAGTGCAGTTGCAGCTCCAGTGTTTAAAAATATGTAATGCGCCTCAAAACATGCGCGCACGCCGCGTTCAATCGTACGACGAACAAACGAGCACACTGAACGCAATGAAGCCAACGCACTCACGCTTTATCATTGAACTGAATAGCTGAAGCTACAGGGACTGACGTCTCCACCAATCGCAAATCCCAATCTTACACTCACTTCCTTCCTTCCCTATCTTCCTACAGAACCCCCGACCGCCAACCAAAAAACACCCCCAGCAAAAAAGAAAACAAACGAGCAGACCAGGAATCGAACCTGAGTCTCCGCAGACCTGAGATGCACGAGGCCCCGAAGGGTACCTCCCTGAATAGCGACCCGCCTGACCGGGGTGCGTCCTGCCTGAACTGCCTGCCTGCCTGACCTGCCGGAATCCCGCAAAACTGACGTGCGGTGTTCTACCACTAAACTATCTGCCCCGAGTTTGTTTCGATGAGTGATTGTGCCTTTTAATAGAATATATACGTTAATAGAATCCAGCCTAGGGCCATGCTGTTCGCCCGCAATGTGGTCGTCACTGCCTCGTTCACATACAGGACAGTGCAGTCTAGCAAACGCGTTCTTATTACTGCCTCACTCACTTACCATTCAGTCCCTGAACAAGGTGATGTGAAGTAAAGCAAATCCACCTGACGTGCTTCCCATCACAGCCAAAATGCACCACCCACCACGTCGATAGCCAAAGCCTCCAAGTTTTTAACCTCACACCTACCTACTATGTCAAGTACCTAGATATCGCCACCCACCCTCCCATCCCCAAGAAACCCACCAAAAAAGAAAACAAGCGAGTAGATCAGGATTTGAACCTGAGTCTCCGCACTACCGTGATCCGCCGTGGGTCTTCAGACGGTTCGTCATCCGACGCACTTTGACCCAAATCCGCAAGATACCTACCTAGGTAGGTATACGGACCCGCCCCCAGGACTTTAGGTCTTAGGTTCTCATCGGTGGGAGCGCACAAAGTAAGCGGTGTTTTTTCCACTAAACCATCTACTGTTTTCTGATGGGCGGTTCAGGAGTTTTGGGGAATATATAGGAAGGGGATATCCCCTCAACTGGTTTGACCCCCGGCATGGTGAGCGAAATAATGGAGTGGCAATTTCTCGATTTCCCCTGAGGCAAGAACGGGGAGAAGGGGCGTTAAGGAGGCAGTCACGACACATGGGCCGCCTCAACATGGAAAGCAGCAGTCGCAACAAGACATATGCGGGGCCGTTCCTCCCTCCTTGGATTTTGTCCACACCAATGAACTCAACTTCACGAGCATCAAAACCTGAAAAAGTATAAAAGATTCACGCATTAAAATATGGCTATATTAATACCAAGACCAAATACAGTAGCGACCAATAACAACCATCACTCGCTATATAAAATACACGATTGACCATACGTCTTTGGCAGAAAGGTACGATGGATTCAAGGAAGAAGAAGCAGAAGAAGAAGAGGGAAATAGACGGCCTACAAGAGTGCACAAAATGAGCCATTGAAATAAGGAACTAGACTCCCTACTTTTGCCCCTCCAGAAAAAAAAAGAAACGCCAGACCAATTCCTACAGATCCCAATACCCAGCCAGCCGAAGGAGACAAGAAGACAGACCACTACAGTCCAACGCCAGACCTCAAGAGACCCAGAAGATGCAGGAAAGGAGAATATGCAATTGATGCAAATGTCCAAGAGGTCTCACCACTTCGTCTCCATTGTCCCCTGAAAATCTTCAATCAATCTCCTCTCATCCCCAAACCTTCTTCTCACCCGGAAAGGTAGGGTAGCCGCCTAGGCTTTCCCTCGCTTCGCAAGATAGTACGTCAAAAGATTGAGGTGTTGCTCTCGAGCTCCCGCAACCGCTTTCCAGAATCCTCCATCCCCCTTGTCCATATCTGGACCGGCAATGCGCTGGTGCAGCGCGACGCAGAACTCAATATCAGCCTTCCTTACATCGGCGTCCTGGTCATCCATGCATCGGACAGCTAGCTTGCCGAGACGTGCGGTTTGCTCTGAGGTAAGTGTGATGTTTTTGGCACCACTGATTTGAATCAGTGAGGCCAGGGTGACGAGAGACATGGTGGTCGTGCGGGATGAACCTTGATATGTGACAGAAGAAGCCGAGGATTTTGAGTTTGGTGACGAGGTCGGTGTTGAAGTGGGTGTATCTTCAATAAGCGACAGGACAGCGTTGAGACATTCCAAGGTCTGGCCATATTTCACAATCTCATCGGCAGTTGCCTCGAGATCTGTAGCAATATGCGATGTATTCTCATACTGCGCCTTCGTCTGCAGGATTGTGCAGAGCACACGAGAGAAGTACTTTGCTGTCTCCCGTGGATACAGAGAGAGCATCGCACGGATTGTTGCCAGGGCTTGCACTTTTAAGTTCACGGCCTTGATAGGTGAGATCTTCAGTTCTTGAATAGGAGACTCAAGAAAGTCAAGACATGCTAACAGCAGTCGGGCGAAGTTCTCGTCGTTCGGTCCCCAGATGTCCTGATTTGCTTTGACCATATCTTGCATGCGGCGGAACATGTGAGCTTCAACCGTACGACCTTCGATCCTCTTGATACCGCTTGTCAGCAGCTGCCTGTTCTTCATCAACTCGGCATTGCTGGCATCATTGCTTTCGGTGAGCATAACACTCCCAGTGCTCGTTGTCTTGTGGTGTCCTCGAGGACGTTCCTCCGAAGCATTGCCCATCATGATATCGCTTGACGTGCTTCCAGTGCTCTGTCTACGTTCATTACTCCTCTCATTGATTGGCAGTTCTTCGAGAACAGGCTTCTCCATCTCTTGTTCAGCCGCCGTTGGCTCGTCACCGACGAAAGGGTCTTCATACACCTGCACTTCCTCCTGGGCATCAGTTCCTCGGGTGCTGGGTCGATCTGGTGAACGCATACGCGGGCTTCGAGTTGATGTCCTGAGGCTTTCGATATCAAGGTTACCCATTGACTTTGGACTCTTCAAGGCTGAAGCTCTTGGACTGGGGATTGCTAAGCGTGATGAAGATGATGTTGGCTTCGGAGGGGTTCGCTGCACTGGTTGTGAAGGCGGTCGTGACAGGTTTGGAATAACCATCGTAAAGTTATCATCTTCTCCCAGATCGATCGCGTCATTGTCAACCACTGCGCTCTTGTCAAGACCATTTCTCTGCCGGAACGGAATGGTGCCTGGGTCATGGTGACTTTGCGAACGAACCCAAGGCTTAACCATCGTAAGGTCCTCATCCTTGGCTGGACTCAGAGCTGGACTGCCATGTCGAGATCCAGTAGCAGGAGATCTCTGCTGAGTCACACTTTGCCCCAATCTAGACTTACTTCGAATGGGACTGACGTTGGGACTTTGCTGTGTTTGAGCTCGAGGGCGTGCTGAGCTTTTTGGGGCAACAGATTTCTTCGTTGTAGCTGGAGCCGGAGTCTTTTCAGGCGTTATCGATGGAGTCGCCTTCCCTGTCCGTCTTACAGCGTACGGATCTGCAGTCGCTGGCCGTGTCAACTCTGGTCGCGTACGTATCGGCCGACGAACAGTGCCGCCCATCAATGATCCTGTTCCGCTAGGGTTCTTGAGTGCTGATTTCGACGAATCTCCAGACATTGCTGATGGTGGTCGTGCTGGGCCGGAGGAGGCGGTCGATGCATTGGAAGCGGTTCGGACACCTGCACCTAAAGATTTCGCTGATTGCGATTTCACAGGTGAGTAACTTGCAGCAGCAGAACTAGGACGTTCGGGAACACCTTTAGCAAGTGCCAACTTCGCCCTCCTCTGCTCAGCAATCTTCTCCTTCAGCGCGCTACGCGCAGCTCCTGCCCCTACGGATTTGGAGAATGACGCGGTGCTGGTTTGGGAGGATGCGAGCGAGGCATTCGGGTTATTCGGGTCTTTTTCAAGAGCGGTCTTCTCTCGTTTGTCAAGCGTCTCAAACATTCTAGCAATCATGTCAGTTCGTAATTGCGAAGTCATTCGGGGTTTCAACTTACGCTTCTGCCCGCTGAGGCCAAACTAAAGCAAAAGTCCAATAAGTGCTTCGATATGCTTCACGGACCTTGGGGTTAGCATCAGTTACGCCTTTCTTGATGACCTTGTCCAATGTCTCCAAGCCTCCTGAATGCTCAATCTGCGATTTATGCTTTCGGATTAGAGTCTTAACCCAGCTAGCGGAATGTGTGCGAGGTTGGACATTCTTGTCCTGTGCAGCGAGTGAGACGTGCTGCATAATGCGATTGTTGAACGACACATTGGAGATAATAGTATCCACAGTGACATTTCCGTTCTGGGCGGCAATGTTCTTTGTCGCAGCACACATTTTGATGAACGATTGGAGCAAGATCTCCACCCAAGGATCGATGGCATGCCCAAAGGTTTTTGCGAGCTCTTGTACCAATAGACAACCATTAGTAGACATGGTCGTTCGGAGAGTGTTCGCGACCTTCAAGATGCCGTCTAAAATAGACTTGATGCCTATGATGAAGGCTCCATGGAACTCCGATGGCGCATTTCCCTTCAATATACGCCGAAGTTTCGTGGTGTTCTTGTCTCGCGCTAGCCAATTCTGCTCTGTCTCTTTTCCTTCGAAGTGGGGTGCCATATCCCGGAAGATGTCATCCAATTCTCGTTGGGTATAAATGTGTATGGGATCCATCGGGACGATCTCGGTCGGAGGTGGCAGCTCCAATGCCAAGCTATCTGCCATCCCAATCTCAGGTTGTAAAGTCTCTGCTCTCCGTGCTGGCAACGGTCGCTCTGCTCTTGGCAGTGGTGCTGGCGGTAATTCTGCTTCTTTTGGTGCTGCACCGTTTTCGAGATGGGAGATAATGAAGGTTGCAATTGCCTTTCGGACGTTGAGGGCGATGAGCTGTTTTTTCAGATTCGCCTTTGCGTGCTCTGGTGCGTGCCTATTCTAGTATTAGCCAGTTTGTTCTATCCGATGAAATCCGTTTGCGTACCCAAACAAATCCACAACAGCCCTTTTCGCCGTATCGCGGACGCCGGCGTCTGCATCTTCGAGGTTGGCCACTAGCTGGTTTGAGTAGCTCTTGAAGGGAAGGCCTTCGTTCTTGTTCATCTGTCGTAGCTCGGATTAGCTTTCGCCCCTCTCTCAAACTCTGTGGTATAACCAACCTTGACTATCCAGGTCATGGAAGCATCCTTGGCACGGGCATTGTTCCCCTTGATTGACTCGTGTATGAGCGTTTCCACCTCGGTGGGCATCAGATGATGCAAGTCGGCCAGTATCATGACGGTGGCAGTGCGGTGGCTCTCGCGCGCGTCGCCCAGCTTGTCGTGCAGGATGGCGGACAAGACGGCGGATTGGGAGGTGAGAATCTGGGTTTCATTCTGGAGCTGTAGACGCTTAATATAGTGGCTCAGGGTTGAGAAGCCGGTGGACACGAGCGCGGCCGACGTCGAGGCCGTGATGGCGAGGCGGATACA